TCTAAACATCCAAGGGGGCATAGCCATTAATACCATGAGTTACCCTGATAAAGGAACTACAGTAATGACCTTTAAGATACACTGATAAAGGAACTACCGTAATGACCTTTAAGATACCCTGATAAAGGAACTACCGTAATGACCTTTAAGATACACTGATAAAGGAACTACCATAACGAACTTTTAGAACATTTTCATTGACACAGTCTATCTTATTTTTTCCAAGTCAAACATATTTGATCTTTGAAAGCTTCTTTTAGCTATGTTAGCATAACTGAGATGTTTCCACATTTTAAAATTCATCTTATACTGCTGATTTCTAATTTATCTCATTTTGAACTTTTAAAGCTCAATGAACTGCAAGAGAAGTCTGGAGTTTGAAAACAGCCCCTCAGATGCACAAACATAGACAAAATCAGTGAATTAGAAAAAGGCCTGAACTGGGAATCAGGAGACCTGGTTTTCCACTTGAGCTCTGCTATTAACTATAGGACCATGCACAAACTACTAAACTCTCGTTAGGCTTGATGTTTTTCACTGTACTACAGGGAGTTAAAGGAGCTCTGGTAGCGTAGTGGTTACGAATCGGGCTGCGAACCTTAAGGTCAGCGGTTCGAAACTACCAGCTGCTCTGCGGGAGAAAGATGAGGCTTTCTACTCCTGTAAAGATTTACACCCTCGGAAACCCTGTACAGGGTCGCTATGGGTTGGAACCGACTCGACGGCACTTAACAACAACAACAACAGGGAGTTAGGTAGGAGTCCTGGTATGGCACTGTAGGATAAGCACTGGACTGCTAACCATAAGGTCGACTCTTCAAATCCATCAGTAGCTGCTCGGAAACCCTATACAGGGTCACTATGAGTCAGAAGTGACTGGGTGGCACACACCAACAGCAACATGGAGTTAAGGAGCTCGGGTACTGTAGCAGATTACGAACTGGGCTGCAGCTATTGACAAGGTCAGCAGTTCGAATCTACCAGTCACTCCATTGGGAGAACTATGAGGTTTTGTGCGCTCCTGTAAAGTTTTATAGCCTCAGAAACCCTATACAGAGTTACTGTAAGTCAAAACCCATTCACTGGCACAGAGCCACCACGAGCACACGGAATTAAAGTTTGTTTGCAAGTTTATGCTCTAAATCCATTCACTTGGGTATGAGATCTTTATGATACGAAGTTGCAATCCATAAGCTATCTGTGGTTAAGTGCCGTCGAGTTGGTTCTGACTCACAGCGACCCTGTATAGGGTTTCCGAGAAGCAGCTGGTGAGTTTGAACCTCCGACCTTGCAGTTCAAATCTACCTTGTGGTCCAGTGCTTATCCTACAGGGCCACACCAGGACTCTATAGCTTGTCCATATAGAAATTAGATTCACTCTTGTTGCTGGTATTGCTTTAAAATAGTTTTAATTGATCATTTTATCCCCAAAACAATTCCATCAATACAGAACTGAAAAAGAATTGTAAAAAAGCAGGAGTCACCCAATCTTCTGTGTCTCTAGGTTGAAGGCATTCAAAATATAGTGACCCCTCTCCACAATGCACTAGAAGGTACCATCAGTGGTGACAATGGTTCAGGCCTGGTAGTGGTTTGTTTTGGTATACTTAAAGTTTCCATGACAGGAGAGCAATTCAAGGACAAATAGCATCAACAATATCATTTTTGTAGAGACTTTGGTTTTTCCAAACTATTGCTGTGAGGTGCTATTTCTGAAGCAAACAGTTCTTCCTCATTTCAAAACCGGCAGCACTCAAAATCCTACCCATGTATCCCTATGCATGTCTGCAAGGGTTTGAGTCCTAGAAATGGATTCTTAGGAGCTTGGAACCCAATGGTCAGTGATTGTACCAAGGAAAGGGTTGAGGAGGCAGCTGAAATCAATCTCTGGTGCATTCAACCACCTTCACCAGTCTCCCAGTCTCCTGCTCAGATCTTTGTATTGCCTCTTAGCTTGGAACTTAGCTTCAAGATAATGTGCTGGACTACAAGGTCAGCAGTTCAAACCCACCAGTTGCTCCTTAGAAACTCTACACAGGGTGGCTATGAATCAGAACCAACTCAACAGCACTTAACAACAACAAGCTTCTTAGAAGCCCCCCATTTGGGGCTTGGTGGTGTGGTCTGTACCTTTTGGAGGTGGAGCCAAAACATTTAACCAATCACCTCATTGACAATCATTTTTTGTTTTCATGATTTACTTGATTTATTTTGTCTTTTCATCCTTTTTATTGTGATTTAGATGAACGTTTACAGAGCAACTTCTGGATTTTCCTTTCAACAATCATACACATTTTGTTTCATGATGTCCATTGTAATTCTCACAATAGAACAGCATTTGGTTGATTTCCCTGTATTTACTGTTCCCATTCCTCCTTCTTTGCAGTGCCTTCCTGCCTTCTGAGCTTCCTCCTGGGGCAAATGGTGACCTTGGATCATCTATGGCTGATTGTTCTAAGGAGCACGCACATTCCTGGTGTTACTGTTCACAGTATAGGCCTACCTATCATTTAGCTTCTGGTTTGGTTTTTGGTTTAAACCATAGTTCTCTTCTGAATCTATATCTTTCCACCATCAAAATCTAGGAAGGGGCTTCAAAAAATTTATGGCAAAATGGAACTGAAAGATCATGGCATTTTCCCACAAACCTTCTGAAGACCCCTCCTTGTACTTGTCTTGATTTTGCTCCCTGTCAGCAGTCCCATGAGGCCACAATCTAATAAATACATTTTCATAAAGAGCTTAACTACTGGCAACCACTCCTTGCTTGGCCTCTCTCCCTCCAGGTATTTCCCACATTTCTCTGACCATAAGAATCATCTGTCGTTGTTGTTGTTAAGTGCTATTGAGTCGGTTCCGACTCACAGCGACCCTGTATAGGGTTTCCAAGGAGCAGCTGGTTGAGTTTGAACCACGACCTTTCGGTCTAGTGTGTTATCCTACAGTGCCACTAAACATACATCATTATCCTGGACTTCTCCCCTGGAGTGTGTGAACCAGCAGTTTTTGGAAGAGGAACTTATGATATTAATGAAAGTCATTCTTTTAGTCAAAGAAATTAAGGAAACACTACTCTAACCTACAAGGAGCTCTGGTAGCATAGTGGTTATGAATTGGGCTGTGAACCGCAAGGTCAGCAGTTCAAAACTACCAGCAGCTCTGCGGGAGAAAGATGAGGCTTTATGCTCCCGTAAAGATTTACAGCCTTGGAAACCCTATACAAGGTCACTATGAGTCAGAATCGACTCCACAGTACTTAACAACAACGAGTCAGAACCAACAACGAGTCAGAACCAACTCCACGGCACATAACAACAACCACTCTAACCTACAGTGGTATTTCAGATTCCTGGGACTGGGGATTACATCTTGAGTTATAGCACAGAGGCAAAACAGAAAACAAAATGTGCAAATACCCTGCAATGATTTGAGCATATATTCACTCATTACGGAAAGTGGGCTGCAAACAAGTAGGTGTCTCAGAGCAGTGAGAGACACGAAAAAAATATGTATGTTGACCAACTCTTAGGAGATCCGTGTTCTTGATCTGGTTCTGACATTCATTAGTGTCCCCATCTGTAAACTTCCAACTGCTGCACAATATCTGTATGACTTATGTGCCCACTACTCACTTCTAGGACCTTATTTGGGAGCTATGCAGGGAAGTGTGCAAAATTTGTCAACATATAATTGTTCATAATGATGAAAAATTGGAAGCAATCTTAGTTTCCATTATTAAGAAGAAGTCAAATGAGTTAGGATTGAGCCAGGCATTGGAATACTAATCAACCTTAACAATGGTAATGAAGGTCCTTATTTTTGATATGGAAAATATTTGTGACCTTGTCAAGTGGTAAAAGCAGTTTACGAAACAGTATTTAAATCTTGACCCCAGTTTTGTGTTTTTGTTTTGTGTGTGTGTGTGTTGTTTGTAGAAGTATGTGAAGTCACCAAGGGGCAAGATTATGGAGGCCTTTTGAAGTTTGTCTGTATCCTTTTGTAAGTGTCTGCATTTATTTCTTACAATAAACTTACCCAGTTGCCATTACGTCAACTCCAACTCATGGGTGACCCAATACTGTGCCCCACAGGATTGCCAATGGCTGATTTTCAGACTTGTATCACCAGGCCTTTCCCCTGAGGGCCTTTGGTGGACTCTTATGCTAACCTTTCCAGCTAGCAGCTGAGCAGGTGGGTCATTTGCATCACTTTGGGACTCCAGAATAAGCTCAATCTTGTAAAGCTGGGGGAAATAATACTGCATTTGTTTGTTAAAGGAGACCTGGGACGGCTCCCTAAGGGAAGCACTGGGCTATTAACCACAAAGCAAGCAGCTCGAATACACTAGCCGCTCCTTGGAAACGGGCTGCTAACAACAACAATCTGTTAAAAGATCATTGTTTTGTACATTGTCAGGATGATTAACCTCCACAATAGATAGGAGACTCACTGACTCATTACCAGCTAGGCGATTCCGACTCCTAGAGACTCTGTATAGGGTTTCTGAGGCTGTCCAACTTTATGGGAGCAGAAAGCCTCGTCTTTCTCCCACAGAGCAGCTGGTGGATTTGAACTGCTGACATTGCCATGAGCTGTCCAGTGCTTACCCTGCAGTGCCACCAGGGCTCCTTAGGAGACTATGAGGTACTTGAAAGATTTAGTGATTCGAACAACAACAAAAAAAGTTCTTTCCTCAACAATGTGCACTACGTACTTTTACTCTACACTGGAGTTGTAAACATTTTGTCTAAAAGATGCTATTTTTACCCAGTGTTATAGACAAAACCCCTAATCGATACATCTGAAGTCTATCAGGGAATTCTGATTTCTGGCCTGGCCTTCAGAGCAGCTGGTAGAAAATCCAAAGAGCAGGTTCAGGAAATATCAAATAAAGTATCCAATAAAGGGCTTCTTCCAGACTTTCTAGAAAGCCCCACATCCCTTCATCTTAGTTGAGAGGGCAGAAAATGCAGGTGCACCCAGTTGGGAGAGGGCGGGCCATGCCCCATCTTTTCCGTCATAAAAGCACAGAGCAGCCCGTCCCTCTCTACCTTGGTCATTGGGTGATGCCTTTTGCCATGGCGTGCAGATGGAGAGCAGATTTCAGGTATCACCCAAGCTGGGTCTGGGGAGAGTTGAGGTGAGTATTTCTGAGCTGGGCAGAAGGGGAAATATCGGTCTTGTCTGCCTGAATCCATCCCATCTTAATGCTCTGCCCCATCCTCTTCCAGAGCCTACCTCATGTCACTTTCTCTCATCTTTGTCCTTACGATGTCAGTGAACTCCAAAGATGCTCCTCGGATGATGACTCCTGACTTCCCAGGTATTATTCTTGGCTGAAGGATGTGCTTCTAGTTGCTGGAATAGGAAATGGTTAGGGTGCCTATTTGGCCAGGAAACCAAGTTAGGTCAGACAGTCTCCATGCACCCCTTTCTCACCTTGGTGAAATCACTAGTCTTTCAGTTGTTCGTTCTCCTCTGACTTGTTCTGCCAGCTACATGAAAGTTTGTAAAGTAGAGACGAGGCTTTCTGCTCTTGTAAAGACTTACAGCCTTGGAAACACTATGCAAGGTCACTAAGAGTTGAAGTCCATTTAGTGCAGTAGAATCCAGCACCGAAGGAGTCATGATGGTGCTTTAGGTTAAGCATTGGGCTGCAAATCACAAGGTAGATAGTTCAAGCCCACTAGCCACTCTATGAAGAACAATGAGGCCGTCTGTTCCTATAAAGAACTATAGGAACCCTAAAGAGAAGCTCTATTCTAACTTATTGGGACTTTTATGAGTTAGAATGGACTTGGTGGCAGTTGGTTTTATCCATTCCTTTAGTGCCTCAAGGTTAGAACATTAGGCAACTTTCCCAACAACCTCAACCTAGTGCAAGATTAACTGTAGGATATACCAGAGGCGAGAGAATAGCAATTTATGGAGGTAGAATTTGGTCAGCAGAAATATGTCCGTGTTTAACTCGGGGCTCTTAAACTTTTAAAAAACCTTGAGGAAAAAATACTTGGTCCTTTACTTCACAGACTTTTGGTGTGGCGTTACTGGTTAATGCGCTAAACTGCACCGTCGGTTTGGGCTGTTGAGGTCAGCACTTCCAACTCACCTGCTGCTCCTTGGAAACCCTGTACAGGGTCGTTAGGAGTCAGATCCCGACTCCGTGGCACTTAACAATAACAACTACTTCACAGAACTACCATCTTTGCTTGCCCAGGATGCCAGTCAGACTTCTTCCAGCATTTTTGTGACCCTTAATTAAGGAATCCTGGTGTGGCACTGTGGGTTGATGCGTCAGACTGCAAAGCCATTTGAACTGCAAGGTTGGTGGTTCAAGCTCACCAGCTGCTCCTTGGAAACCCTATACAGGGTCACTATGGGTCGGAATCCATTCGACAGCACTTAACAACAACAACAATTAAGACTTATCCTTGAAGTCTGTAGGGAGCATTGAACGCTAGCTTGATACCTTCTTAGCAGTTCTTTGGTATATATTTCAACAATTCGTAACTTCTCTGAGAGTAGAAGACAGACTTTGCCTCTCCAGACTGTGTCCTTCCCTGGTGCCTGTGAGAGGAGTGGGGCTCTCAATACCACTTTGGTAGGGATTGTGTCTCATGCAGCTCAAAGAGGCCCCTAATGCTGTTTTCGCTCTCCAGGCACTGTCTCTTGTAATGAAGATGGAATGATACTGGGGCTTCCTAGAGAGCTTGTCACCAAGAAATGGCATGCATCTGTGGTGGGTAGGTGATGTGTATTATCTCATTGTAAGCCCACTTAGTAGGAAGCCCTGGGCTCCCGCTGAGGAAGAATATAAACTCTGTGGAGCAATTTGTATCTAATTCCCAAGGTACCATGGTGTTCCGTGGTTTATATAATGCCACCAAGAGAAGGCCTTGTGTTTCCTTGAGTGTGCCATCTGAGTTCCCTGGGAATTTTCTAGCAGCAAATTATAGCATTTCTCAAAGCATGTGTCATGGCTCTCAATTGGGCCAATAAGAAGTGTTGAAGGTCCTTAGAAATAGCTTGGCGGTATTAGCTACAGTGAATTTCCTTTCAGATCCTCCCAGCCATCACATATGTAAACTGCTCTGATTTCTGTAGATTCCCTGGGTTTTGAAATCCCAAACTGCACGTACATCCTGGACCCGGAAAAGCTCACCTTAAGTGCCCCATATGCAAACTGTACCAAAATAGAGGTAAGTAACTGCTTAAGGGACTATTGCTTGGGGAACTAGGATAACCTAGTAGTCAGTGGATGCAGGCTTTGGAGAAAAAGCAGTGCTTCTCAACTGAAGGTAATTCTTACCTGCCCAGGGGATATTGCTGTTGTCTGGAGAAACTTTAAGTTGCTACAGCTAAGAAGAAATGCTATTGACATTTAGTGGATAGTTGCCAAGGAAGCTGCTAAATGTCCTATAATGCACAGGGCAGCCACGGGTAACATGAGATTGTGGCGCAAAATGCTAATAATGTTGATCTTGAGATACCCTGCAGTAGAGAGAGAGACAATCGAGCTTAATCTCTGCTTTTGCCACTTTGTAGGTGCAATCTTGAGCTGTTACTTAATGTTCTAAGACTGCTGCTCACTGGAAAATGGGAATAATGGCACCCTCTCCACAAATAACCGAAGATAATGACAGAACGCAGAGCGAGGGTTTAGCACAGTGCCTAGCCACAATGAATGGTCAAACATTATTATGATATGTAATAACCACATGAAACAGAGTCTGGAAAATGGAGAACTCTCCTGTAAAATCGATATTGGAAGACAAACAGTAGCAGCTGAGCAGTGGTTTTCTCTGTTGCTAAGCAATGTTCTTGCTCAATCAGGGTGATTGTAAAAAGAATGACCTGTCTAAGGCAGAATTTCTAAAGCTTTAGTGTGCCAATAATCACCTGGGGAATTTAGGAAAGTACAGATTTAGTAGGCGTGGGGGTAGGTTCTAGAAACAGTCATGTTTAATAGATCAGTACATATGTTTGAATCTGATGCAAATAATCTACAGTTCAAACTCCTTACAGTCTGACAACCTGTTCTACAAAAAAGGGTGGCAACTTGAAGTCATCTGGCTCTCGGTGACCACCCTGTGATGTAATCATGTGTTCTTTTTTCAGTGTGAATTTGCCAGTGATTAACTTTCATTTGAAACAGCCCTTTCCAAGTTTGAGGAGCTTAGGGTTGCATTCTCCTAGGCCACAAAAGTGACCCAAATCTGTTGCCGTTGAGTTGGTCCAAACCCATAGAGGCCCTGTAGGACAAAGGAGAACTGGCCCATACGGTTTCCTAGGCTGTAAAGTTTATGGTGGTAGATGATCTAATCTTTCTTCAGTGGAGAGGCTGGGGGATTTGAACTGCCCTCCACTTATCAGCCGAGTGCCTAACTACTATGCCACTAGGGTTTTTCTACTTTAGAGCAGAGTTTTACAATCTATAAATGGCCAGTTCTAGCCCATGGCTTGTTTGCTCTATGGGTCCCAAACCAAGAATGGTTTTTTACATTAAAAAAAAAAAGTGGGTTGTTTCTTGTGGTTTTTTTTTTTTTTTTGGGGGGGGGGGAGGAAATGCCATGTATATCATCATGACCCACAAACCCTAAGATAATTATTCTCTAACCTTTCACAGAAGGCTTGCCAACCTTTTGCATTAGTCCGAGTTCTTTGAGGATCAGGGTATTATCAAAGATGGCTTTGCCCAATCAGTACTCAATGTGTTTAAATAAATTCAGTTAATTCTAAAACAGCCAAGGACTGATAACCCAAACATGGGGTAGAAATAAAATAAAAACTGGAACCCCAATCCATAGAGTCCAAGAGAACTGCTCCTATCAACATATAAATTCTTAGCAGAGTATGTGAAAGGGCTAGCTTATAAAGCGTTCTAATACAGGAATGAAGGATCCTTTTGGAACCTGTGGTGGATACTGGTAAGTTTTGAAGGGTTTGGGATTCAGCCGGGGTAGTTGATATTCTGGAATCCTTTCCCACTAAATTCAGGCACTTTCTCGCTGTCATCTGCACACAGCATAACGAGTACCAGATGACCATCATACTCGTGGATAACACTACTGCTGCAAGGCATGAAGCCACTGTATATCAGATCAGCTGTCCAGTGACGAAAGCAGAAGAGGCTCAGTCCAGCTGGCTTCTGGGATCCACAAACTGCATGAAGGACTTGATGTCTGTGAGTGAATGAAGCAGGTTGACTGCTTGTCATATGGCTACCACAGGGGAAGTGTCTATGGCAAAAACAGGCTTAGGAATGAGGCCAGGATTGCAATCCAGAATCGACCATGTAGTTGCTGTGTGACTTCATATTAACTGCTTAACCATGTTGAGTTTGTTTCCAAGTCGGATGAGGGAACAACGCTCACCTTTTAGTAGCATGAAGAATTGACTCAGAATGGATATGTACTGCTTATTACATTGTGCTTTTCCACAAGTGGGTTCAGTTGGTAGTTGCAGTTGTATCAACAATGACTTGACTCATTGAATAGCTACTACTGCTGGGCCCCCGTGTCAGGTGATACTGTTGTGTACTGTCGAGTTCATTCTGACTTAATAGCGGCCCATGTGGCAGAGTGGAACTGCCCCACAGGGTTTCCTAGGCTGTAATCTTTGTAGGAGCAGGTTACCAGGTTTTTTTTCTCCTCCAGAGCCACTGGTAAGTTTGAACTATGAACCTTTCAGTTAGCAGTTAATGCTTGACCATTGTTTCCACCAGCAGTGCTGCAGGATAATGCACTGGACCTACAAGGTCGGTTTGAACCAGAAGGTCAATGGTTCAAACTCATCAGCCATTCCTCAGAAACCCTACACAGGAGTACTGAGTTGGAACCAACTTGACGGCACTTAACAACTACAGGTTTACAATGGTGTGTTAGCACTGTAGGATAAGCGCTGGACCGTGCAAAGTCAGTGGTTCAAACCCACCAGGCGTTCCTCAGAAACCCTTGTTACAGGATCGCTATGAGTCAGAACTGAATTAACAGTCCTTACAAGGTTTACAGTAAATGAACAAAACCTTCTGTAGAATTCATATGCCAGTAAGTCTTTTGTAGATTATGGTCAACCAGGTGGTCCGGCTCATTGCTTCACTTTAATGATGATGCTGAGTACCTTCAAAAAGCTCGAGGAAAAAGTCCACTCTTTTCTATTCAGCTTTTTCACATACTTCTTAACACACACACACACACACACAATATATATATCTCTTCTAGAGCCAATAAAAAGGAGCTCTGGTAGTGTTGTTGTTGTTAAGTGCCGTGGAGTCGGTTCTGACTCATAGCGACTCTGCACAGGGTTTCCGAGGCTGTCAATCTTTACGGGAGCAGAACTCCTCATCTTTCTCCCGTGGAACTGCTGGTAGTTTCGAACTGCTGACCTTGAGGTTCACAGGCCGATTCGTAACCACTAAGCGGTTAGGAATCAGGCTGCAAAGGTCAGCAGTTCAAAAATACCAGCTGTTCCGTGGGAGAAAGATGAGGCTTTCTGCTCCCTTGAAGATTTATAGCCTCAGAAACCCTGTACAGGGTCACTATGAGTCAGAACCGACTCCATGGCACACAACAACAACAGAGACAATAAAAGGCTCTACATTTTAAGAGCCCAATTGCCTTTTGGTCTTGGGAGCTCAAATGGTTAAAATGACTTTGTTTAAGGGGAGTCCTGGTGTGGTGCTGTGGGTGAGTGCACTGGACCGCAGTGTAGGCTTGAAGTGCAAGGTTGGCAGTTCTAGCTCACTAGTCACTCCTCAGAAACCCTATACAGGGTTGCTATGAGTCGGAACTCACTGAACATAACAAAGGGAGTAGTGTTGGTGTTGGTGGTCATGCGCTACCAAGTTGGTTTCAACTAACAGCAACCCTACATGAGTATTCTGAGGCTGTAAATCTTGACAGGAAATGGAACAGCTGGTAAATTTGAACAGCTGACTTTGAGGTTAACAGCTCAGCTCATAATTCACTATGCTACCAAGGACTCCTCAGTCTAAGGGTACAGATGGGATTTGTAGCTTGTCTATGACCTGAGAAAACTTTTCTCCTAAATCTTGTGTGTCAATGGACTGCTAACAAGGTTGGCAGTTCAAACCCACCAGCAGTTCCTTGGAAACCCTATACAGGGTTATGGTGAATTAGAATTGTTTCGATAGCACTAAACAGCTGCAACAAATCAAAACCTTAATCATGACTTTCTTTCTTTCCATCTTTCTTCCAGTTTTCCTTTCAGACGTCTATACCTAACTTTGATGTCAAGATCTTGGTATGAAAATAATTGTTAATTGATCTAGCAACACTTGATTCAACATTAAGCTAGTTAGTTGTAATCCTGATGAATATTAGGCTATATGAACTTAAATTTAATAACTTTGGTGTTAAGGTGAGTACCACTTTTCTAAATGAAGCTCTTGACTTCAGAATGAAACAGGTCTGCAGAGATGGGTCCTTAAAGTTGGTGATGGCCCCATCCAAAGTCTGACTCTTGGGGAGGCCATGAGACAAGGCTATGGTGTCATGATTGATAGTGGCAAGATAATTCTCCAAGCATCACTGAATGCTACTGGAGTGACGCACTATGAGGTAGGTATGAAAATCTTTTGTATTACCACCAAGGCATAGACTCGCTACTCAGAAGACAAACATGTGTTCAAATTCATTGATAATACAACTCGATCAATAAATAATGCCTTCTATGTGCCAAGCACTACACTTGAGTACTAAGGCTATGTCAAGCGAATGGCTATGTCTCTATTTCAATCTGGTCTTTCTTTCCTGTAGACTAAAACCTACTCTACAGTGTAAGTCTTAATCCAGACAAAACTTCTTAATTCAACAGATAATCTGTAACTGTTCTGAAGTTCATCTTCTATAGATGATACTGGTACTTTTTAGACCATCTACATTAAATGAATTAACGTGCTGAAGTTCTAGAACAGGGCCTGGCACATAGTAAGCGCTCAAACATCGGCTATTACTTTGAACACAATAGTCCTGTTTCACACTGTCTAGTAGCTTCTAGACCTCTGATACTATAGAGACATGGAGTAAGATGGAACTTCTGTTCACATCTTCCTAGAAATGATCTAGCTAGGTCATAATCAGTAGACATGACTAGTTTTCTAGATATTATGGAAGACAAGATTTTAAAACTGTCAGTGGTTGTTAGAGATGCTAAGTGTCTAAATTCTACTACTTGTGTCAAATCAATGTACAGTTGCTCTGTTTTTATGGCATTGGTTAGAGATTCCAGTAAACCAAGTCTTTACCATGGTCCCCTTTGCCTCCTCAGCAAGAAAACGGCCATCTGTACATGGTGCCTCTGACCCTCACATACAACTCTCCTGGACAGACGGTCAGCCTTTACACTAGAATGATGTGTGTGGCAGGTGAGATCCCTGGAGCTATAAGTTTTAGTTTGTGAGACACTGTTCTGGGAGCTTACTTGGTGTTGATAATGAACATTCTCTCTGTCACTTCTAGATCGTGTGACTTGCAATGCCACACACATAACTCTCACCATACCCAAGTTTCCTGGGGAGTTAAAAGCCGTGAGCATTGAAAATACGCGTATTCATGTGAGCCAGTTACACTACAATGGAATTGATACAGAAGCAATGAATGGCTTAAGACTGCATTTCAACAAAAGTTTCTTCAAAACAAAAGTACGTTCTACCAACCATGGAGTCCTGGTGTGGCACTGTGGGTTACTGCGCTGGACTGCAAAGTTGGTTTGAACCACAAGTTCAGCAGTTCAAGCTCACCAGCTGCTCCTAGGAAACACTATACAGGGTCGCTATAAGTTGCAACCAACTCTACGGCATCCAACAACTCCCAACCATTTATGAAGAAATCTGATTGAAATGGTCTCTGGGTAATCTTAGTATAGCTTGTTAAGTGCCATTGAGTGGTTCCAACCCTGTATAATTGACTTTGAACCACCGACCTTGTAGTTCAAACCAACTTTGCAGTCCAGCCCACTAACCCACAGCACCACATCAGGACTCCTTAGCTGAGGACCTGTTGGTTTATAAAAAGGGTTGTTGTGGTTGTGGTTGTTGTTGTTGTTGTGAAGTGCCATCAAGTTGGTTCTGACCCATAGCGACCCTGTATAGGGTTTTTGAGGAGCAGCTGGTGAGCTTGAACTGCTGACCTTGCAGTTCAAACGGCTTTGCAGTCTAGTGCATTAATCCACAGTGCCACACCAGGACTCCAGCTGCCAGGGTACAAACTCTGGTGGTGGTGGTGGTATGCCACCGAGTCAGTTCCGACTCATAGTGACTGCATAGATGAGGTTTCCAAGGTTGGAAAGCTTTATTGGAGCAGAAAGCCTCATCTTTCTCCTACGGAAAGGCTAGTACTATAAAACTACTGACCTTGAGGTTCAGCCCAACGCGTAACCGCTATGCCACCAAACTTTGGAAAATCTCATTTGATCAGTTTCTAGGAAATTGACTTACATAAAATTTCATTCTCAAACACCAGCCTCTTTAATGTGTGCAATGGAAATTGTCCTCAGTTGTTCTCATTTGGAGTCCTGGTGTGGGTGCTGTAGGTTAATGTGCTGGACTGCAAAGTCGCTTTGAACTACAAGGTTGGCAGTTCAAGCTCATCAGCTGCTCCTCAGAAACCCTATACAGGGTCACTATAGGTCAGAATCTACCGGAAGGCACTTATACACAACAAAGTACTAGGAACTTCTTGTGAAGCTTCTCATGTTAACCTTTGTTATGGAGCTGTATTGAAAAGAATAGGACACTCTGACCTAACAAAAGGGTTCCAACTGTGCATCTTGACTGATTTTTCACTGCCAGGACACTAGAGTGACCTTATGTCGGGGTATATGTGCTTTGCAATACTTCAGTAATAATTGCTCAACTTTGGCTTAGCAGTGTATCCTAGCTCTTTGGAATTTGATCTTGTTAACATGTTAACTTAAGGAGCTCTGGTTGCGTAGTGGTTACGAATCAGGCTGCGGGCCGTAAGGTCAACAGTTCGAAACTACCAGCTGTTCCACGGGAGAAAGATGAGGTTTTTCTGCTCCTATGAAGATTTATAGCCTCGGACACTCTGTACAGGGTTGCTATGAGTCAGAACCCACTCCACAGCACATAACAACAACAATATGTTAACATGTTTTACTACCCAGTACAACGAGTCCTGGTGTGGCGCTGTGGTCTAATGTGTCAGAATGCAAAGTTGTTTGAACTGCAAGGTCGGTGGTTCAACCTTACCAGCTGCTCCTTGGAAACCCTATAAAGGGGTGCTATGGGTTGGAATCCACTAGAAGGTACTTAACAACAACAGCCCAGTACAAAGAGCATGCAGCATTGAGTACTTTAGGGCAGGAGTCAAAGCAATCAATTTCCCCTCTGGGGAAGAATGCTGATCTAAGGAAGTGACAGACGCTCCCTTGTTCTGGCTTCAGGGAAACAGGATAAATCTGGAATGTTCCCAGCAGGTCTCCAGCACACTTCTTCTGCCTCCCTGTGAATACCTTAAGGAACAGACAGGCTGTGGCTGCTAACTGACATTCTTTTCTCATTTCAGATCTCTGCAAAATGTGTGTCCTATCAATTCTACTTATCAGTCAAGCTGACCTTTCAGTTTCATCTGGAGACTATATCCATGGTAGTACGTCCTGAATGTCTCTGTGAATCACCAGTTTCTGTAGGTAAAGACACTTTAAAACAACGTTTTCACATTAAATTTTTCTTCTTTTTCTTCCGTTGGTTCTTACTGGGCATGTGGGAAAATAGATACTAGTTCTGATTCAGACTTCTTGCTTTGTTTCATGAAACTAAAACAAACCAAACACCAGATGGACTGTTAAGGATACAGCCATACTTGGTTAACCTGGTTAACCTAAACCAAACCAGTTGCTGTCCAGTTGATTTCTCATAGTGACACTTGTGTACAGAATAGAATGTGCTCCATATAGTTCTTAAGGCTACAGCCTTTGGAAATCAGGCCTTTCTTCTGACATGCCTCTTAGTGGGTTTGAACCAACAACCTTTCTTCTAGTTGATTGTCTCGCTGCTTATGCTATCCAGAGACGACCACTTTGTAGGGTGGTTAAGTGCCCCGGAGTTGGTTCTGACTCATAGCAATGATAATGAGCTTCCCTAGTAGGTTTGAACCTTTGACCTTCAGGTAAGAGTCCAGTGCTCATCCTTCAGTACCACACCAGGACTATATAAGATAATACTCCTAAAATATGCAGGTAGAACTCATAATGATTTCATGTTTAAGTACTCATAATTATTGCATGTTTAAGTAATTAAGCTATAATTTGGGGTTAAGGTATAAATCAACCATTTAGTATGAAGAATCTCTCCAATCTCGATTAAGATTATTACAAATTAAACTAAAAATATTTTCTCTAAACTCTAATGTCTTCAAAAGGAGGGTTGAATAGATACTTCTGGATACTGCCTCTACATTTGTGTACCTGATAGAACAACTTAACTGCTCTTTGGGCTTCTTGCAAACAAAACTCACTGCCATTGAAGTCCATTCTGACTCATTGCAATCCTATATAGGGTTTCTGAAACTGCGAGTCTTTATGGGAGCTGACAGCCTTGAAGAGTGGCTGATGGATTTTTGAATTTTTCACCTTCAGTTAGCAACCCAATGTTAAACCAGGGATCCTTAAATTTTCCTAACTCTAGTTGCTTACTGAGGTACCTTCGTAAACAAGGAATTAGACATTCTGGTAATTCCTGCTAAAAATAACTCTTTGTAACAAAAAGGTAGGAGATTAATCCTACAGTCCAGGAACAGAGGACCCTAGGACCATCAAGGGAGAGAGGCAGGAGCGGAATGTGGGACTCTATCCAACGAAGCAGTGACCCCAGAGATGGAAACGGAAGAGGGCACGGAGAAGAGCAGCTGAGGACTCTAGACTCATGGAAAGAGAAAGGCTGTGTGCTGGCGGTCTGGAGGCAGGCTTGCAGAATGTGCCCTTTGGTTGTTTAAATGATTATATATTCTGAGTGTTTTTGTACATTACCTGGCCCCCCAAAAAAGAGGGAATAGAAGCAAATACTGTTGAATGATGATGTACAGAAGATACTGTAATCATTGCAATAAAACGAGTATAAAACTGTTCCCCCATGTAAACCATCACTCAACTCACAATAAAAACTTAAAAACAAAACAAAACACACAAAAAACCTCTTGACAGTATCACATGACGTTTTCTCTAAATCCCCACCACTATGTAGTTACAGATAAGCTGTGTACCCAAGATGGGTTTATGGAGTTTGAGGTCTACAGCTACCAAACTAAACCAACTCTCGACTTGGATACCCTGAGGGTAGGAGACTCATCCTGCCAGCCTATCTTCAAGGCTCAGTCTGAAGGGTTGGTACGGTTTCACATACCCCTGAATGGATGTGGAACAAGACATGAGGTTAGTACTGGCTGGTGGCAAGAGGCAATTAACTGTCTTTGAAGCAAATAACTGTGTTAAACAACTCTCTCTAACTTTTTAAGTTTAAAGAAGACAAAGTCATCTATGAAAACGAAATACAAGCTCTCTGGGCAGATCTTCCAAGCAAAATTGCCAGAGATAGTGAATTCAGGTATGATACACAATTGTTGCTTGACTTAAACTCTAATGTAAATCTAAGTAACTTTCTAACCTACAATTCTTCGGTACTATATACACTGCCTGCCCTCAACCACACTCTCCTTACAGAATGACAGTGAAATGCTATTTCAGCAGTGATGATGTGCTAATAAGTAGCAATGTTGAAAGTCTTCCTCCTCCAGTGGCGTCAGTGAAGCCAGGTCCACTTGCTTTGATCCTGCAAACCTACCCGGGTGAGATAACACTCGCTAAGACCTTCCAAGGAAACTTATCACTTAAAAAAGGAACTTTCTGATGTTGGTATAGTAGTCATGTTTGAGTTGTTACAGCATCAAATGCTCAAATGCTGAAGAGGTCTCCATTCCATTCCAGATAACTCTTATAGACAACCTCATGGGGATAAGGAGTACCCTTTGGTGAGATACCTCCGCCAACCAATCTACATGGAAATGAGAGTGCTCAACAGGACTGACCCCAACATCAAGCTGGTCATAGATGACTGCTGGGCAACAGCTACCATGGACCCAACCTCTCTTCCCCAGTGGAATATTGTTGTGGATGGGTAGGTACTCTCCACACCCCAAGGTCACCCACCCAATCCATCAAAACATGCCAGTGAAGAAAGTAAGATACCTTTTGGGGTTGTAGAGGAGTTCTATTAAGTTCTGTGAAGTTGTTTCTGACGCATAGCAACCCTGTGCAGTGTTTCCAAGAAGCAGCTGGTGAGTTTGAACCTTGTGGTTAGCGGACCAGTGCTCATCCTACAGCGCCACACCAGGACTCCAGAGGAGCTCTAGGTGTCACAAAGACCTTGTTTCTTATTGACTGACTTGTGCTTTCTTAATACGTAACACATCAGCTTGGAACCTTAATGAAGGGGATCTTCCCCAAGGAAATTTGGCTCTAATACTGCTGCCTATTTGTAGAGAGTACATCTTTAGTCCTTATTTTGACTGAACACCTACCACTATATAGCTAGGCACTAACCATTCTTTTGGAGTCCTGGTGTAGCACTGTATATTAATGAGTTAGACTGCAAGGTTAGTTTGAACCACAGGGTTGGAGGTTCAAACTCGCCAGCTGCTCCTTGGAAACCCTATACAGGGTCACTATGAGTAGGAACTGACTCCACAGTATTTCACAAAGAATATATGTTCTTCTTAAGAAACCCATATGTTCCACTTAAATTCCAGCTGTAATCACTTACTGGTTGGTCTCCTTAAGTACTAATCAGACTCCAAAGCCTGAGTACTAGAATATTCTGAAGAACATGTGCCTAAGCAGAGGTGTTTGTCCCCTGAACTCTGCTTAGCTTCCTACCTAGTGGTCTGCAAACTAGCTGAGGGTTCTTTATTGAAGTTACTGGAGTCTTAGACTTCAGATATATTCCTGCTCTAAAACCATGTACAACCATTATTTCCACACCAACTCCTTCACAGCAGTTAAGACTTGCTTAAGTCTCCCTTATTAAAATTTCCCCCTCAACTCTAGTAAAACTTCTTAGCATCTCCTACATAACATACTACAGCATCTCCTACATAACATACTACAGCATCTCCTA